GAAACAGTTAACAGAAGATATGTCAAATTTCAGGACTAGACAATTTGAGGGGCCCTTCTACAGGAAAAATGCAAAAGGGAGAGTATAAACAAAGAAAAGTACAACAGGAATGGGAAATCTACTCTTGTAACTAAGAATTACAACTCTGTCCTTTAATTGATAATACTGCACATTGAGGAAGTCACATCTTAGCAAAATCTTGAAGAAATGAAACAGTCTATGCTCATCAAAAAAAACCCCGCAAATTTAAAAAAGCTCAAGAATGTAAAAAAAAAAGTTATAAAACCTAACTTCAATGTCTGTTAATTTTCTATTACTTCAACGCTGACAGGATGCAAGACCTTGGACAAAGCTTGTTCTTCAGAAGCTGAAGTGGTCTTTAGGCAACCTGAAGCATTCAAAGCCAATATATCTGCTACAGAGTAAGCAGCAACACTACAGCTCACTCTTCTTCATGAAGGGTAGACTTTTTTGCTAGCCACTGTGTGAAACACGGAACTTCAGATAAGCATGTACCTGAGCAAATTTTGTATCTGCAACCACACTCCACACAGTTTCAAAAGAGCGCTATGACTTTCAGTATTGCTACAATACACAAAACACTGTCAAGTTTGGTGTATCTGAGAGATCGAGGAAAAGGTTTTTCCTGAAACTGACTGAAAAATCTGCAGCTTCGATTTCTCATTCTTCTGTTCTACTTTACCAACTGGAATCTCTATTTCTTCATATGGCACTACATTAATGTGTGCTGTGGTGAAGCTCACGTATGCAGCAGTATTAACATCTTAACCTCCAAGGAAACTATTCTATAATTTAGGCTACCCAATTATGTGACTACGAGTGTAACTGACTAGTTAAAAATCTATTTTAAGCACTTCAATGGACGCATCTCCCCAGAAGAGGAAACACTGGTAACTGGTATTTACATGCCACTAGTTCAGAGACTACACAAAGTCACATTACCAAAACCAAAACCAAAAGCAGAACAAATGCAATGCAGAGGAAGAGGGGGAGGGGGGCAGTGTGGCTGAAGGACTACCTGAGCAACCTCGAAGGAAACGCATTCCGTTAAGAGAAAAGGTACCCAAATATGTTAAAACATGTTCCCTCCCCCTAAAACTCTTAAAAAACCAACGATAATAAAAAGATAAATATTAATATAGAGCCCATCTACCAAAAGAGAATAAAAAACCTAAATTAAAATAAATTTAGGGGCCTTCACCAAACTTGCTGCAAGTTTGGGGACATAAATATCCAACAGCCATAAAGCTGTGAAAGCCCCCAGAATGAATAAAATAAATCCCACTTGCCTCAGACTGAACAGGGCAACACTGAGACTCTGCCTCAGCCTGTCCTATGGCAGGGCTATAGGAAGAAGAAAAATTTAAATTTTAGAAAAAACATGACCCAATTAAGTGAAAGACATGCATTCAAATTTCACAAAATTCCAGTGATCAAGAAAACAAAAGCAAGCGACTGCTATAGCACCTATTTTGTTAGGCCCAAACAAAACTTTGTACAGTTGGCAGCTACTTCTCATTGGACAGTTTGTTTTGCTTTGTATCTTGATCAATGGAACGTAAGTCAGTTGTTCTGGGGCATTTTTCCCGTAAGTGATAGTATTTACTGTACTAGTTCACAAAAGAGAAATATTCCATCAGCCACTGAAAATGTTCACCCTCACCTTAATATTTATGTAGAAGCTAGACCAGTACAATTATTAAGACATTCACTATGATTTTTAAGTGTCATTAGTCACCACTTTAAATTGCAGCCCCAGCTCATGGACTGGTGTATCAGTCTCAATTTAACTGAAGAGTCAGAGTGCTCTTCTTTGTCATTTTTAAAACTGAAGTAATCTTGGTATTTTTTAACTTGTTATGTAGAATTCTTTTGATTCCTGTAAGATAACTGCAGGCTATATATTTCACTTGATTTTATCCAATATTGAAGAAAGTAAGTTTTATAGTTCTATTAAGTACTGTTCAAGAGCTCCATACGCTAAAGTAATTGCGGAAACCACAGAAGGCAGATGCAGCTGAATGTGTTTCTAGAAGCTTGTTTATATTATCCCATGCATGCACAGAGCGAGGAATAGTTATCCATTGAAAATATTGGATATACATCCCAGCCTCAAATTTATTATCAGCACCTAAAAAAAATCTCATCTGTGGGAAAAAAAATAAATCCAGGAGTTCCAGAAGAAATTTTTGGTTTAATTTCTAATTTTTCAGTCTAATTTCTAAAAAAATATTTATTTTTTTTTTGTTTTCAGGGTTTTATTTAAAGAAACTTTTGTGAAAGGCAGAAAGATATTCTAAAGGCAGTAAGAAACAGCCGTATCAAGAGTTCTTTAAAACTAGCTGGGGCTTTTCCAAGGTTCTTTCATGCCAGTCTCACCCCTTTTGCTCTAAAAATCAGCAGATATGAGATCAGCCTCTCATAATGATATTGAAAGACTGTGTATAAAAGAATTTAGAACCTTTGAGGCAGGACCCAGATGCCAAAAGTTCTTAGTACTTTGTAAAATGTATCTTCCCACCTGTGTCTGAACATTTTTTCACAGCCTGTTTTTTGTATTCAACATTTGCACTACATCCCAATTTAAAGACTGATCAAAATCCACTTGCAAGCTTAAATTTTAATGTAAAATTTGCCATGGCAAATTTAGGCAATGGAAAAATAAAGCTTCTGCCTATAACATCACCAGAGTCCTGCAACAGATAGAACAGAGATATGCTTTTGTGCAATCATAAAGGCCTCTGGAATCTCTTTCCAGGGACAGACTAAAGCAAAGAACTGTCTGCATAGCTGTATTGCGTTGGGGATTTTGCTGGCACAACTGTGTTGATTAAACTTTGTACTGTAAACCAAGCCTTAGTCTTTATACAAGCAATTATTACATTTGAAGTAGTTTTTCCTCTTTTTGGGAAAATGCACCATAAATCCAACTCTCTGAACATTAAGAAGCAGTATCCAAAGGAATGGAGGCAGGGACCAACAGACGACACGTGCACTGAAATACCCGCCTGTTTACAGAAGAGAACACACAAGAGACACAGGAGTAACTAAAGATAGTCACATCATAGCTCTTATAGCACAGAAATGACAGGAGCAGGAAAGTAAGTATCCATATTAAAAATTGTGCACCTGTTTGTTGAAGATTATTAAGAGTACTGTATGAACAATTCGTGGCAGTGCTTAGTTGAGTGATTATCATAACATTACTACTACGGAAAGTTCAATCGTAAAATGCACCCAAGCTGTAAGTCTACGTAGTGCTAGCTACAAAATGGTACTGTTACTGGAACAAGGAGACATTCACTGTTTAAAAGAGGGAAACTCTTAATTAAAACAAAACAACTTGCAGAATTTGCTGAGTTAACAGTACATGCAGTAAGGTTTTCAAGTATTTATCCCAGGAAAAGTAGGGTCTGAAAAAAACATACCGATGAGTTACAGAAAGACACCGAAGGAAGGAGGGTTTACTAGGGGCAGGAGGGCAAAGCATTCTTACAGCAGCAATATGAACTTCAGAAAAAGCAAGAGGTTCTATAGTTTTAAAAGCAAAAGATTAATTTAGAATTTAAATATAATTTTATGTGTATTATTACAAAAAGGATGTGTGACACTGTAAAAATCTCTCCAGTGTTTTGTCATTATTACTTGATAAACAGAAGAAACCCAGATTATAAAAGCACTGCCTAAGCAAAACAGTTTTATCTGTTAGACTTATGTATAAAGTAAGATGAAGAGCTAACAAAATATCTAACATCAAGGCCTACTCAGCACATTTGCAAGCCAAATACTGCACATCTGACAGGTTATCAGCAGATACCAGTGATCGGAGAGAACTGCTTCTCAACAGAGGCTTGGAGTTATGGTCTTAAAACACTTCAGGAAAAGTGCCTGATAATTCTTAATTGTTAAACTAAGGCCATTTAGCTGCAATGAAGAGTGAAGTGGATGCTCTGGTGCTTTTATGAGCAATCTCATGGCCCCAAGTTTGAAGCTGAGAGACAATGTAGTATTTTAGCTGTACTGTATTTCTGGACTATTTAGAGACAGTACACAATGAAGTCACATGAAGTGCTTATGTGCAGCTAAAAAAACGGCAAGACTAAAGAGAGAGCCAAAAAGCTCAGTATCATAATTAGGTGAAAAAACTCCACCATCAACAAAAACATCTATGGAACAAACAAAAAAAAATGCTGATAATCTTTCTAACCTACTCTAAAAGAAGTGATATCCCCATAAATTAAATAATTTAATTATAAGCACAGATAAGGCTTGAGGCTGGAATATGTATTTAAAGTTGACCTGCAAATGAAAAATTCACCACTCATTTTTTCACCCCCACTCCCTGCTGTGAAGATGAAGAGATCAGGGAAACTCTCACCTCCCTTCCCTCCAAACTGTCTCCCTCTACACTTTCATTCTCATCAGAAATACAGCACACTAGCATGCTGATGTTAGACATTGAGAATTACAGCCTTGACAGTAATTTATCACTCTACTCTTACAAACAGATGACTAATCCATATGGGGAAGACCTCTCTTCGATAAAATTAAATCAGGAGAACTGATAAAAAGGCCTCTCACACTAGGCACTTCCATTAAATGGCTCAAGCAGCTCAGCCAACATCTGATCATAGCACACAACAGATAATTCATCTAGAACTCTGCTAAGACCTGAAATTCTGACCGTTTAAAGTAAAAACACAGCATGTAACGTATTACTCTTGCCCCTCTCATCTCTTTTATACGCTGAGAAGGTGGTCAAGCTATTCTCTCTCTTTTGCAGGTCAACTTCAATACAACATCAGCTGGAAGTCACTCATCCATGTGACATGCACTTAAGCTTCTAGAAATCTTCATCTAAAAGGCTCCTGATATTCATATGCATTTGCACATTAAAAAGAGTCAGTCAAAGAATGAACTAACAGGACACATCTGGCACAAGGACGCATCTTAGAGCAATCACTTTTACATCCTGCAAGTGCCAGGACTAGAAATCATTTAAAATTTATTGAGGACAAGAAAGCACAAAGAGAGAAACATATGCATTCAGAGAAGTTACAACCAGGAGTTAAGATGTGCCTCCTTCAGCCTCGTTATTGAGGAATCAGTTAATAAGTGTACAGGTCTTTGTCTACTCAGATGTTCAGCTAAGGAGTGACTTAATTTTAGAACACGGAATTCAGATTTTATCAAAACAGCACCAATAAGTGTGTTCATTACACCAACAGCTACCATGGCATGCATCTGTACAAACCTTTCAGGCAGTTGTCCACAGCTGGTCACGAATAAAAAGGCATATAAATTTTTCTCTTCTTTTATTACAATGAAGTTTATAACAGTACAGAAAAGTCACACGACCTTAGTGGGTCAGTTTACTTAAACCCTGAAACAGGAGGAGCTCTAAATACATTAAATATTGTTACAAGTTCAGACTTAAATGTACAAGTAGTTGGGAACAGTTACAGCCCTCACCAAACTACGTTGGGGACATGAAGTCCAACAGCACTTGAAGTGCTGTGAAGGCATCATTTCACAAATAGCAACATAATGTTACAGAACTTGCCTTTAAGGTGGTATGTTCATGTAATTCCAGCGCCTTCACAATTTAACGAACCATATTTACTATACTTCACTTCTAAAAACCTAGATGAAACATGAAAAAGAAGCCATACAGTATAAATTGCAACATCAGGAAAAGTTCCTATTATTCCAAATAATTTTTCCCATGTAAAATAAGAATGTCCAATAGCTCCTTGCATGTGGGAAGATACTTATTTTTTTAAAGTCACAATGAAGCCTTAATTGACGGAAGCTCGGCTATATTAACAGCACTAGATGAGAAAAGGTTTAATCTCCAAACCTATTAGAGCGTGTGTAGTAGCATCAGTAGCGGCCACCTTGCGACATTACAGGAGGTCTCATTCCCATTGGAGGTCGAGGAGGTCCACTTTGGTAAGGGGGCACCATCGGAGGTCCCTGACCATATGGAGGCATCGCTCCAGGAAGATATCCTGGCATGCCCTGGTGATGAGCACCATACTGACCTATAAACAGAACATTTCAGATGCAAAGGAGATTTTTATTTTTTTTTAAGTAATTGGCAGAAGTTGCATTTGGTGAAAACCTTCACCCACATCCACCACTCCCCCTCCCAGTATATGACACTTCAAGGACTTTAAAATTTTATAGCTAAAACAAATCTTCTCAAGAAAAGAGAACTGGAAAATTCATGATTACCATGAGGTGGCATGGGAGGTCTCATTCCTTGTTGTTGCGGAGGAATTCCGGGCTGTGGTGGCATCATACCTCCAATTGGTCCAACTGGTGGATTACCCAAGGAAGCTTGTCCTGGTCGAGGAAGATTACGCTGATATTTAGGCAACTGTGCCCTTCTCTCTTCCTAAAACCAGGAACAGACAACCGTAGCACATTGTAAGACAACTCATCAAATGCACGGTAAATAAAAGTGTAACAAAGTTGATTACAGGTACTAAACAACTTCAACTACCTTACAAGTTTGATGACTGCTACTAGTAACATTACACAGCAGCATTTGAATTTTTCTGCTTTCTTCAAAGCTAGTGTATCAATACTGGCCAACTTAGCTTTTTGCACACAACATTCCTCCTCCCTCAGCTGAAGAAAGCCTTTTCCTTGTAACAAGTTGATACAAAGACGACAAACAAATCTAAAGGTATCTGAACTGAAATTAACGTTAATTTATCTATAAATTCTGCATGTCTGAATGCTGTAATAGCACCGAGACCACTTCAAATTGTTCAGTCTGTTGTCCTACACTCATTAGCTATGTCTTTTTAACTTTGAGTCATATGCAGAAAAAAGTTGAAACTATATATTGGGTTGAATAATCTCTTACACCCAACAAACATAAGGCTTAAATCTGCAGCAGGATCATTGAAATATACCAGTCAGCACTCTGCAACTAAAGACGTTTCCTCTACACATGGCTCTGTTACATTAATTCTGCAGTTTGAACTCTCACCATTATTAAAATACCAATAACGCAGAGGAAATTCTATTTAATTAGCCAGATCAGCATAAATGGCACGTTTCAGTAAGACAAAGACAGTATTTAACTTACCAGTGATATATCCTCATCTGGATGGATCAACTTACTGGTTGCACTGGTCGTTGTGAGGGTAGCAGGCTTACTTGTTATAGATGTAGCTGGTTTAGCTGCAGTACTGTTTGTCGTGCTAGTGGTTGAGGCTGTAGACTGTGTGTAAGCAGGGAATGTAGGTTTTGGGGGTTCTGTTGTTGTTGCAGGTGTAGAATTCAAAGGTTTGAAATCAGTACCAACCGGACCTGGAACAGCTGCTGCAGCCTGTGAAACACAGAGATAGATCAGTATTTATTTCTCAAAGCATAAGAAAACTTAAATGATGTCTGTTAGAACTCTGAAACCTTTCAGTAAGATACATAATTAAAACAAGCTTGACAAAAGTAAAGTTCAGCCTTATTGCATACTAGAGCAACTGAAACCAAGACAAAATAAACCCCAGTATATACACATATATATACACACAGACACACTGGAAAGTCTAAAATTTGCAGGTCAAAAGCCATAACTAGAAAAAAGGAACAACAAAAAACCCCACTATAAAAACTTTTATCTCAAATACTGAGTTTCGTAAATGTCTGTATCTTTCCTGAACCACTGTTCTATTAAGAACCTCTAAGTAGAAATTCATAATTCTCTCACTATATTATTAGAATACTTTAGTAACCATTAGAGTACAGCTCAAAGTGTTAGTATTCATTAAAATTAGTTTTTTAAGAAATGTTTTAAGATTTAAGAAAGCTCTTCTCTGTCAGGGTTTTTGTTTAAGCGCTCTCTCTATATAAAAACACTGCAATATTTTCACAAAGTATGCATCTCTCTATAGATCTTTGTTTGTGAATGAACAATCAACTGAAGGCAGGTTTGAGGTTCACTACAGATTCCCGCATCTCATCTTTCCTAAGTTTTTCTTAGCTGTTAGACGAGAAAAGTGTGCTTTACCAGGCTTGCTCTGAAGACACAGCAATCTCAAAAGCAAGCTTTAGTTACGAGAGAATACTTTTGTTTGTAGCCACTGTACATTTACAATTACCTAAACTTTCCAATCAAAATACTCCCATTTTTTCACATTAGTTACAAAATTCCCTGTTATGATGTATCATATTAAACAACAAACTAAAAAGCCTTCACCATGCATCAAGCTAACCACTGCCCACTAAAATGCATTTAACTGCTTTCATGCTTTTTTAACCCTTTAGAACCAGGATGTAATGTTTCATCTCTCATACTAAGAAATATTGGGCACTTTGACATGCTTATTTCTGGTAAGATGCAACTCACAATCAAGGACTCTGCAGTTTCACCAGCTAAACATAATCAGGAATGTAACAGGAATTATCTGTTTAGTCAATTTTAGATTTTACAGAACGGTCCAAAGGGTTAAGTTGCAAAGCAATTTGTTTTTAACTGTGACTTCCTGCGTACTTGTGCTGTGCTAGGAAACAGAGCGTTAGAAGATGCTGACAGACTTTCTGAATTGGAGGAAGCTGTACTTGAGCTTGTGACAGGTGTCCCCATCTGTAGCATAAAAGAAAGGAAACAGTGAAAAGTCTCCAAACAAATGGGTGGAAAGTATCCAGATGAAAGGGTTTCTTATGCTAAGTCCTCTCTTACGACAGGACTGTCTTTTTGTAAATGAGTATCTTCCCTGCAGAAGTCCAAAATGCAAACAGCGCACTAAGAAGGTTTCTGCAACATACTTGAAAGCAAGTAAAAACTTCAGGACTTATATGCAAGAGCAATCAAAGGGTAGACGTCATCACAATTCCCCACTTCCCTCCCCAAAACTTTCGAACAAATTTTTACTACATTAACTTACTCCTAAACTTTTTAAAGCAAAAAAACCTCCTAATTCACGCAATGTTTAATCAGTTTAACAAGAATAAATTGGTCCATCTATGGGTAGAGAGCCCATTATGAAAAGAACAGGAGAAAACAAGTCATGTCAAGATGTAAACTCTGGAAATTTTTGGTAAAGTTCAATGCAATAGGATTCCTGTAGCTGACTAACACATGTCTTTACCCACCCAAAGCACCCTTATAAACCACAAACTAAAGGGATTAAAGAAAGAAGTTTTGCCTACTCCTTTCTTCCCCACGTGCTTACAGAACTTCTGTCTGGTTTCATGGCTGTTGTAAGACAAACAAAAGAATCTTTTAAAATTCATTCAAGCACTACACTGAGTTAAACTTAAGAATCAACACAAGCAAGAAACTTAACCAGTCCTCTCTTGGGTCTCCTCAATAATAAAAATCAGACACTGTTGCCAATTTGAAGAACACAACAGATTCCAGGCTATGGGATACCTTACCTGCCCTGCACTTGGGAAGAGTGGTTTAGTAACTGGAGGCTGCGGCGTAGGTGTCGCTGCAGCAGGCGCTGGAGGCCTGTTAAGAATGCCTGGTGCTGTAACAGGCTGTGCTTGTGTCATTGGAGGCATCCCAGGACGAGGACCAACAGGCGGGGGCATACCTACAATTAACAAAGAATCAGCAACAAATCAGGCTGAAGGAAGTAAGAGTATCTCCTTTAGACGATTCTGTTCACAGTGTTCCTTAGAATCAAGTCTTCCCAAAGGAAGATGTATTTTTAAGATAACAGTAAAATAGAACAAGACAAAAGGTAATGCCAGCGTTCACCAATACATGTCCACACACAGGTAGTAACCTTCAGAGCTACACTGAATTAAACTTTGCTTTCTACTACAGCTTCAGTGATTAAGTTTATGCTCTCAATACATCAATGCAGTAACTGTTTCCAACACGCTGTGCCTATGCTGTCAAGGGCATAGATAAGACTGTTACAAAATCCAGACGATGCAGCCAATATGAATGATATCAGAACTTTGACTGAAACACAGATCAGCTTTGCTGTGGGCATGAGACCAAAGTTCCTGTTAGTTTCCTTACAGAGCAGGTTCAATATTTGCATATATCAGCAACCGTACTTCTCATTTCCCACAACATTTTCAAACATTACAGATTTCCAGCTGCAGCCACAGACGTAAAAAAAAGGAATGAAGTAGACTAGGCAACACAAAACCCAGAGAAAGTGCAATAGGAAGAGAAAACTATATTCTATGTTTTACCTCCACAATGGTACTAAACACAAATAATTATTTGTAATAAAAGCCATAAATCTACCCCTCCACCTGTGCACAAGAGTGGCCTCTATGGCAGTCAATCCTTACCAAGGTGGTGGCATAAGTCTATGTATTTCTTTATAGAAATCCTACACTTCACTGGAAATAAGATATAATTTAGCCCTCATCACAGCATGAATTTGACAACCCTGACGTACCTGGTGGCATACCAGGCATAAGAGGTGGTATTCCTGGCCCAGGAGGCATCATTCCACCCATCGGCATCATCCTGTTAAACAGAAAATGAGCACTGGTATGAACACTCATGATAGACTGTTAAGACAACTGGCATATACCTGTATTAGATAAAAAATTATGGTAAATAATTTCAAGAAGCTTTCAACAGAGGCAATTTAAAAACAGCTGACTCCACAGTTAAAGAGATTTTTTTCCCCACAAAACAAACAAACAAAAACCCACCAAAACCAAGAAACCCCTCAAACACTTTTTATCTGAACTTTAATTCCTCAAGCTTTCACCTCCACTATTATCAGATTTCCAGAACTGGTGTCTCAGAATTTATTTCAGGCTACTATTTTCAGCAGTACTCCAAGAACTTGATCTTAGCATACTCAGAAAATCTGAAAGTAGGGAAAACAGCTAAGTCAAATGACACTGAAATTGCTGTACATCTGCTATTACTCCTTTCTGACACCACAAATCTACTTGTGGTTACAGCTCTCTCATACTATTTTAACACATTTTACTTCCTCCAGTAAATGGCAGACAACCCCAACCTGTGAAACTATTCACAAAATACTGGCAAAAGCCAAGCAGAGACCACTGGATAAGAAAGCTTCTGGAGTTTTGATTACATTAAGTAATCCCTATAACAAAGATAGCAAGAGTGGGATTTTTCTTTTTTAGTTTTTGTTGTTGATGTTTGTTGTTTTTCGTTTGTTTTTTTTTTTAAATGAGGAGTCCTTATTATGGCATATTTTTCCTTCATATTAAAACCAGGTTTTGTTTTGTTGTTTGTTTGTTTGTGGTTTTTTATCCTTGCTACTGATATGTGGAGAAAACAACAGGTGTGACTTCCTAACAGAAAGGTGGCATCTAAATTACTCCTTTTATCCTTATCTACTAGGCCACATTACAAATTAATATGTTCCTTATCTAAACTATAAATACAACTCTTAATATAAGCCAATGCCTCCTGCACACTCCGTAAAAAATAAGCTGTCCACAACACTAAGTGCTTTTAAATTGGGAAGCTATAGATAATACATACGATTACTTTAGAGGGTATACACCAAGTGTAGCTTAAGTTTGCTTAGATTTTTTCCAGACTTTCAAAGCTCAAGTAGCGAAACAAAGTAAGAGTGCTCATTACTTAAGTCAGCAGAATAAGCAGGTAAACAGCAGCCAAGTGCACACCGAAACACCACTAAAAAGCAGTTTTTATTTGTATGACAAAAATTAAGAAACCTTCACCATTGCCGTTCCAAAACCACAACAAATCATCACAAACAGGCAAGCGTTCATTCTGCAAAGCAAACTGGCACCCAGTCTTATTTTTCTTCTCAACTTGCCTACCACTGCTACAACAGTAACAGGCAATGCAGAAGCAGTAAGGACTGGGAACATAGTACCATCGCCCCTTTTTGGGTTAATGGTTGGAGAAGGCAGAGTTAGTCTTGCCACCCGTTCTGACAACCATCTGTTACATCTCAAAAAAAAAAACAAGTGCTGGATGCTTACAGCCTGGTGCCACCAGAAAGACAACTTTCTGAGAAACTGCAGGGATAGCGCTAGAACTAGTGTCACACTAAAAACACATCTGCTTCCTAGGTCCTAGCTCTTCTTTGCTCATTTTAAAACAAAAGATCACCAGGTTAAATAAGCAAAATTTTAAGATTAAACTAGGTGAAAGCATAATATAACACCACCCCCTCCCCCTAAAATTTCACCAAAAAGGAAGTGAATTTTTGGCAAATCTGTTATCTTTTACTAAATGGCATTACATTCACCTGAAGTTAACAAGGAGTTAAAGAGGACTAAGCACCCAGAAGCATGATAGAATTCTGTAGTTTCCACACAGAAAAGCTACAGTTATGATGAGCATCCACAACTTAACTATAACATGACTTTTAAACTCCAAGACTGTTAAAACAATATTTTGTCCCAGAAGAGAACAACCTTTCACCTCAGTGAAATTAAAAGCAAAGTTCCTGCAGTATGTCCTACAGTATAAAGGACCAAGCACATGGAGCTGTACTCTGGTTGGAGAGAGGCCTGTAAGTCCCTAACGGTCTATTTCATAGAATGCATTTTTCACAACATATAATTCTGTAATATTCATTTAGAGAAAGCATAAAAACTTCAGGTATTATACAATAACAAAACATTTTCCCCAAATTCACAGACAATATTCAGAGGTTTTCAGTAAGACAATTTCAAGCTTATAAAAAGAACATGACATAAAATGGCATAATGAATGTACCTAGAATTACATTAATGAGATGCTTACATGTTTCCACCACAAAATGACTGCATGTATTTTCTCTGTTGATGTAATCTGTGAAAATTTATGACAAAATCAAAAATCTAACTGTGACTTTTCCGAACACATTGTGATAGGGTACGGTGTCAACCCCAAACAAGCATAAAAACCATCTTACTTTCGCCCAGTCAAATACAAGAAAAATTTAAACTATCCAGTATATTTTTCCTGTTAGGCCGGTGACCAATAACCAGATGCACAACACATTTGCAATACACAAAGGAACCATGGTTCACAGAAGGCTCTAAACCAACAAAACAACTCTAAATTCTTAGACTAGTATTCAATAGTTAGGAGAAAGGCAACATACTTTATACATAAACTCACAGTTTAGCAATATTTTTAATGTTGGTTTACAGCCATCCAGTTCTTTGGTTGGTTTTAATATTAAGGTTTCAGAGTTCACAGGTTCCTATGAACATTTTTCCAATTAGCTTTACTTTTTCTGTGACAGTTTAAAATGCACAGTATGAACAATTAAGTCTTTCTTATTGGGTCTACTCACCCAGGTGGCATTCCAGGCATAACTGGAGGCATTCCAGGCATCATAGGTGGAACACCTGCCATTAACGGTGGTATACCTTAAAAGAAAAATAAATTTTAAACAACTCCGGCAGCATATGGTTGCTAACAAACCTCATCTAATAAATTTAAGACTGGATAAATGCTTTACAGGAAGCTCTAAAGAGACAGCTTTTGAAATTAACACTGCTTACAAACAACGTAATATAAAAGACAAACTGCAAATCTGTAAACTTTCTTAGTAGGTCTCCAAAGAATATGTCTTATCATTACAGAAAACCTAACAAGAAAACACCAGTTTTTGCTGTCATTGATCAACATTCCTTCCTCAATGTATCTGTGGCATAAGCTGCCTGCTCTATGTTAGTTGTCTCTAGATATATGGGAGTCTTTTCTGCTCCAATTCCAAAATCTTGCTACAGAATACCACAAATATAATTGGTAGACTTATGTTTGAAGTACCAATCTGTCTTACTAATATTAACATTTCTTCAGCCTAGGCATAAGCATTAGGTACCTTAATCTACTTCACAAAGTAGATTCACGTGCGAGCACACAGAACTGGGGAAGAAAAAAAAACCATGACGAAACTGCTTATCTGCACCTCACAAAACTATTTTGTGGCCTTTAACATGCAGTGTGAGAAAGGGCAGATCATTACTCTAGCATACAAGCAGCAACCTGCATTTCTACTCAGCTTTTCAGTAACTAGCTTAAACACAGTCTCACCTGG